GCTAAAATGATTGCTGACCTGGCTCTTTAGTTATTTTGGTTCACATTAAGATACTCTTAGCTTCAGGCTTTGATGCATATTAAGTGTAAAGTAATGTGCAGTAGTGCCCTGTGCTTCCAGAGGTCACAGGTAGAGTAACTCCAGGCCCCAAGAACACATCTGGGAATCCAAACGTAAGTGGAGAAAAGGGTCTTTGAACAGTGAGGAAAAGAGTTGTCACAAAACTCGTACATTTTCTTCTGGAGGAAGGAGAAAACCGATCAGGTCATTAGAATATTGAATCCCAGGTCTCCCATTTACAAATGTCAAGAGCCTATCAGTAAAATGTATCAGTACAATGCAAATAATATCTACCATATAAGATTTCAATAATGATTGAATAAGATAACACATGTAAACATCTGCCTGAAACATAAAAGACACTTAATGAATAGTAGCTATTATTTTGAAGACTAAGAACCTCTTTCACTCTCTTCCTCCAATGTTATAATATTAATTAAGGAAACAGATTAGAAGCCAAGGGGATACTCACAGACATACAAAGCAACAGCTGAAAGAAATTATGTAGCCAGAAAAACAATAGTGGCATAGTATTCTGAACCCAGTCCCACGCCTAACAAAAAGCCCCTAGTCATCACTACCCCTTAAGGTATGGCTGCATTAGAGCACAGAATTGATGTTCATAATGATGGCAGCTAAACATCAAAGAAAGATTAGGAGGATTAGCGTGAATATGAGCTATAGAAGAAGGCAAGGGAAGTAGGCAAAATATTCTTGAATGATTTCTATAAAAGTATTTTTAATGAAAAACACTATTGCTTCTTAAAGGTATAAATTTCAATTTTAAACTATACTATGATATGGTACACTGTTGTCATGAGCATAGGCAAAAGAAACATATATATGGTTGGTGGAATATATATTGGTACAACTCCTGTGGAAGGTAATTTGACAATATCTATAAAATTACTGATGCACATATTTTTGACTCAAAAGTATATTTCAGGAATGTTCTACAAATAAACTCTCAAGCATGTGAATTTATAGATTTGACAAGGTTTATCTGCAACAATCTTTGCAATAGCAAAATATTTGAAATAATGTTAATAGTGTACTAGTGAAATAACTTATAGCTCATCTATTGAACGGAATACTTTGCACACATTATGCAAAATCAGATGTGAAAACTCCACGAGGACTGGCCAACAGTAATTTCTAATATAACTTGTTGAGAAAAAAGTGTAAAATTTATGTATAATATACATTTGTGGATGGAGAAAACATACACCCATATGTTGCCTGTATTTGAATAAAATATCATTGGAAGGGTACACCAAAATATAGCAACATTGATTTTACTGGTGGTTGGAGAACTGAGGTGGAAGAGAGATTTTTACTCTTTTGTACATCTTGAATTTTGAACCAGGTGAATGTATTACCTATTGCAAAACAAAAACAATTTTTTTCTTCCCACAGTTAGTTGTGTGAACAAGGCCTACAAAAGGAGGATGACTGACTATGGAGGTTATTAAATGGGGGATGCGGAGTGGGGGCAGCTCCACACGGGAGATCGTACGTGAAGTAAGGGAGGTGCAGGTTTGTCGTTGCCATCAATAGAGAGAGTGAGGCTGCCTCCCCGCTGTGTAGAAAGAATGTGTGTCAGATACAGACGTTACTTAGGAAGGAAAGCTATTGACCTAGAGTGCATTTTTATTGTCCTGTTGTTCATCTTATAAAACAAAATAAAAATTCGTTGTTTTTTTAATTTTTTTCCCTATGAGTCTATAATTTCTTTATGCCTTGAAAATAAATTACAGAGGAGCCTTGGCAACTATTTTTTCCAAAATATGTTTAGTAAGACAATTGCCCAAGAAAGAGGTTCATTAGAAAGAGGGTTTTGCAATCAAATACTCAGGTTTGAGAAACTCTGAGTATCATTCTCCGTGCTCAGATATTTATCAGGCACAGATGTATTTGAAAAGTCATTTATGCAAAAAAGTCACTTTTTGCTTTTAAGCTGAATACCTATCAATAGTTCATGGAAAACAACATTCAAAATGCTGGTTTAGAGGAACTGGCCCCTGCTCTCCCAGATTTTACCGTCTTGTTTTGCCAGGCATAATAATTAAGCCACAGTTTCATAGGTACACATTTTTAAAAGAAACAATAACATGTTACAATCATATTTACAACTTAGTAAAGATTGTGGGACTTAGAAGGTCTGGTTATTAAATTTGATTATCAACTTCACGGTATTTTCAGGACAGTATTAGTACACTGAAGTAATGTCATTTTAATGTAAATTATCTGTTGTTAACATAATTATTATCTGCTTTGTTTGCTACCTTATCCTCAACTCCTAGAACAGTGCCTGGCATATAGTAGGTAGTTAATAAGTATTTGTTAGGTGAATAAATGACAGCGCAAATAGAATACACTAATTAATATACTTAGTAATATACTAATTATCTAAGAACGTAGTCTACAAAACATTAAAACTATACCCAGAATTTATGCTACCTCAAAGGGACAGCATTGTAAACATCATGTTTGTTATATAGACTTTCTTTCAAAAATTGTAATTGTCGTTTAGTAAGTTCTAAACATTAGAAAGTCACATGTATTACATTTAGTGAGCAAATGTTAATACCTGTATTTTCTTTAGCTACACCCAAATCTGCAGCAATTCTTAGCACATTGGGACTGACCTGGCTTGAGTTTGTCAGTATCTAAAACCATGAAATGTGTCAGAGTTGGGATCATATCAAAGTGAGACAGTGCCCAAGCAGCTTAGCATATCACTGTCAAATGCCAGAATGAGGGTTTGCTGAGTCATCCTGGCATCCTTCAGGGAGCAGGAAAATATTATACAACCTCTCTGGCCCTCAGTCATCCCTGGGGCAAATCAAACTTGGGCAAATTAAGTTATATGGCCATTTCAGTCATGAAATATTTACTTCCTGTCTACTATGTTCCCCATGGAATACTGGGCATTATATCAGTCCATATAGGCTCCCTAAAAATGACATCAAAATTTTATGAGTGGTTACTATGTACTGAGAGGTGTGCAAGAACTTTACATGATATCTTGTTCAAGCTCACAGCAACCCTCTGAGATCACTACCTACTCTTCGTATCACCTTTTACAAATGAGGACACTAGACACACATAAGTTATACAGCTTGACCACAGCCACACAACTAGTAAAGGACGGAAGATATTGAACCCAGGTTGACTGACTGCTGAGTCGACAATATTAACCTCTGAGCAATAATGGAGTCATCCCTCCTTAAAACTAAGCCTATCCATGCCCAGCCAGCATAGCTCAGTGGTTGAGCATCAGGCCATGAACCAGGAAGTCACCAGTTCAATTCCCAGGTTGTGGGCTCGATCCCCAGTGTAGGACGTGCAGGAGGTAGCCAATTGATGATTCTCTCTCATCGTTGATGTTTCTATCACTCTCTTCCTCTTTGAAATCAATTTTAAAAAAATTTTCAAAGGAAGCCTATACATCAAGATGTTTATATGAGAGCTAAAAATTGTTAAGAATCTTCTGTGCACAGGTCCCACGTTTTATATTTTTTGCATGGTATCTCATTTAGTAGAGCTACACAATGAAGCAGCAGTGGGCAGGAATTAGGAGCACAAGACTGATCACCTAAAGTCCTAGGTTCAAATCCCAGCTCTGCCACTTACTAGCTATGTCCTTGAGCAACTTGTTTCACCTCTCTGTGCCACAGTTTCCTCATCTGTTAAAGGGGAAAGTACATACCTTATGGAATCTGTATTATTAACGAATGAATATATCAACAAAACTTAGACCATGGCTGGCAAATAATAATAAGCACTATATTTCTTAACTGTTTTTTTTATTTATTTAAGTAAAACATACTTTAAATAAACAACTAAAAGCACTTTTTTAAAAAACCGTGAAGGTAAATGAAAAAAATTAGAGCAGTGGTTCTCAACCTGTGGGCCGCAACCCCTTAGGCGGTCGAACGACCCTTTCACAGGGGTCACCTAAGACCATCCTGCATATCAGAGATTTACATTACGATTCATAACAGTAGCAACATTACAGTTATGAAGTAGCAACGAAAATAACTTTATGGTTGGGTCACAACATGAGGAACTGTATTTAAAGGGCCAGAAGGTTGAGAACCACTGAATTAGAGGAAAGCAAAAATTAACTGCTCTGCCCTACAACCCACCATGGTATGCTATGTAGCCAGTATTCTCACCTCTCAACATGACCTACATGGTGTGTCTATGAACCTCAGTATGCTCCTGGGGTTATCATGCATTTGGAGAAATGTACCCTCCACCATCATCCTTCTGAGAATTTCCAGCCGTGTTGCCTCAAACGGTCTCAGAAACCAGGACTACAGCTTGGTCTTCTGGGAGAACCCAGGACTCACCTATCCATTCTATGCTATCTGAAAACAGGGCTTCGGTTAGGTTCATAGCCTCATATAAACATGTGGGAAGGAAAAGTAAGAAGAATTGAGCTTACAAAGTTTTAAGTGAAATATATTACAATTGCCGCCGATTAAAATGAGCATATACCAGCAAAAGAAGCTGTTCTCAATCTTAAAATATTGTATTTTCCTATATATCCTAAGATAAAACCTTTTTGAAAAGGTCATCATTAGGATTGTCTTTTTGAGTGATTTGTTCTTTTTTTTTTTTTTTTGGAAGATTCTGATGATTGCTATATGATTGCACATTTAAAGGGTAAAATACCAACTAGTGTGCATAAAATTCTCACTACTTTAAGTACTTCATTAATCATTAGTTATAGTAACAACCTTAGCTCATCACTGCTCTGGCTATAGAACTCCAGATGACCTACAGCAAAGTTGAGAGGTCTTACAAGTCAAAGTCATTAGTCTGGCCACTGTTAGCACCATTCCCAGCTCAAAGTTCCAAGGCTGCTATTTGATCCTTGCTGCCTCTTCCCACTCTTCTGTGCAATAGCTCAAACTTCTCTGGCCCTAAACTAAGCCTGTCAGTGCACTATGCATAATAACCTGACAATGAAGTTAAAACTGCACTCCAAGTTATCATTGATCGATTCAGAAATATTGTTAACTGACTGAAATGTGCACTGTTTGCTAATTGCTATATAGGCCAGCTTCACTCTGCCTTGATCTCATGTGTTGTTGTGGGGGCCTCTGTAATGTCTAACATTTATTGTTATAAATTCTGGGATGATTTAAGAGCATTTAATGATAAGTGAGAAGGACCTCTATAAGGAATTTCTTAGTATATTATTAATGGAACAGGAATAAATATTTATTTTGTTAGAGTGTATTATATTTCATAACAAAATATATATTTTATAACAATGTAATGTAGCTTATGACAAAATTTAAGCTAATTTAATATAGTTTACAACTATATATATATATACACACACACACACAC